TTAGGATAGAAAATTATAGCATCAAGCATAGTATTGGTGTAACTCATTCATGAAAAATATGGCCACTGCCAGCCCACAAGCCCACACATTCAGCTGCCGCTTCCTCTTCTAATCTCAAGCCAATGGGGCACCTGCCAACCTTGTGTGGGGGTTGCTTGTGCCAAACTTATGAAGGGGGGGACCAAACTGCAATGTGGATAGGTGCCACCATGAACGCATCCATGTTTGCTATGAAGCCTTCCGGAGTAGCCATCCCACCTGGGCACAGCTTAGCAGCAAATTGATCAGAGCAGATCTTTGAGGGAACTGTGGCACACAGGGAGGCAGCGTGGCATCGTAGTTTGAGTGTTGGGCGACAACTCTAGAAACCAGGGTCTGAACCTGTACTCGGGCATGAAACCCATGGGGTGTCCATGGGCAAGGCACACTCTTAGCCTCAGAGAAAACCAATGGTAAACCCCTGCCATGAAAGGTTAGCTTTGTGGTTGCCATAGGTCAAAAAGGCCTTGAGGGCACACAACAATGGCACAAAGATGTGCCTACAGCTGCCACTTACAGCTAGACATGCATTTTCACACTTTCAACTCACATTTCTATTGTTTGAATTCCAGTGTTGAATTCCAGGAATGTAAACAAACAGTTTATTGTAATAAAACACACACACAGCATATAAAAATCCATAATAAGAAAGGAAGATATATAATCCAAAAAGGCTTAGCAACAGGTGATAACCAAACAGTAATCCAAATATTTTATAAGGTTATAGAGGTGACAAAGTCCAGGAACAGCCAGAAATCACAGGTATAGCATAATTCCACAAGCAAGGAGATATAACTAGTAAAAACTTGAACAGGCCTACAATAACAGTAGCATAGAAAACTTCCAGGATTTTAAATCTAAAACCAAGGCTTGACTTGATCCAAGAACCAGAGAACTCAGGCTAGCTTCTCATTCTAATGCTATGTTGCCTGAAGTGAACTTAAGGTAAGCAACTTGTTGTTTAATACAAACCCATGAAATCATTCCATTTCCCATGAATTTTCTACTCTGATTTGTAAACAATGACTTTTGTTGATCTCTGTAGCTACAGGTGGTTTCTCCTGAGAACCCTCCTTATCATTCAGCTCTTCACTTGATTCCTTATCTGCTGTTGCTACTTCTGGCTCCTCGGAATGCCCTTGAAGCCCTGCACTTTCCGAGCCAGTTTTCTCACAGAGAGAACCATCATTTCCTAGACTTAAATTTCCCAGACATGAAGGCCTAGCACTTTGTGCCACAGGAAAGCTCACAATCCTCTCTAAATCATCAGTTAAACCATCAGCCTCTGGCTGATCTACAGCAGTCAGATCTTCTTGTCATAATGATTTTTTGCACCAGTACCCTCCAGTTTGGCTACTGTAATGTGCTCTGTATGATACTGACATCTAGAACGGGTTCAAAATGCAGAATGTGGCTGACCTTCTATTGGAGTTGTTGTCATGTGCCACAAGTTGTTTCCAATTTATCATAGTGACCCTAACTTACATTTTTCTTGCCAGAATTTAGTCTAGTCATGGCTTATTGCCACAGCCTTTGTCTTAAGAAGGTGAAAAACCGCAACTTGACTATCATCCCCAGTATGTTTCTAGAGTGATGGAAATTCAAACCCTGGTGCTGGTTATAATTTGTCACTCGAACTAAGCATTCAGCATGGCTTTGGCTTTCTTGTTTTATGTGATATATACCTCAATAACGGATGTTATTATCTCCTAATTTTCTTGTATTATCACACAGCATTCCTTAACTATGGTATGATATGCTTTTATACATCCACATTGGCAGAAAATGTTGTATGCAGTTATTAAAATACAAAAAACAGACCCTCTAACTGTCTACACAGCAGCACAACTGCACTGAACATGACCAACATGATACAGTATCATTGAAAAAAGTTATCAATAATCATTAATAGCACAAACTTTTGATTTACTATGATAATACAAATTGATTTGTTTTTGTAGTAACTTGAGGCATAATTTACTCTGTCATCAAAGCTCAAAAAAGAGTCAGACATCACTTGGAGTGCATCTGCACTGTCGAATTAATGTAGTTTGACATCTCTTTAACTGCTATGGCTCAATGTTATGGGATTGTGGGAGCTGTGGGATGATTTTCTTTCCATGTCAGGAGTGACTCGAGAAACTGCAAGTCGCTTCTGGTGTGAAGGAATTGGTCATCTGCAAGGATGTTGCCCAGGGGACACCCAGATGTTTTACCATCCTGTAGGAGGCTTCTTTCATGTCCCCATATGGGAAGCTGGAGTTGACAGGCAGGAGCTCACTCCACCTTGTGGATTCGAACTTCTGACCTTTCGGTCAGCAGTCCGACTGGCACAAGGGTTTAACCCATTGCGCCACCAGTAATGAGTACTGGTACTTCATTATCTCCTTGTGGGATAATGAAGTACCAGTACTCTTTATCAGAGAAGATTAAAGACTTTATAAAACAATTGCTTCCACAATTCCATAGCACTGAGTGATGTGAAGCTGCAATAATTCTACATTTTGCACATGTACCCTTGGTTCAATCTACTCCACTTCTCTTTGCCCTTTGGGAGCATGATTATGTTACTACTAGGTCACTGGTGCCCCGGTGGTGAAATGGGGTAAACCCTTGCGCCAGCAGGACTGCTGACCGGAAGGTCGGTGGTTCGAATCCAGGGACTGGGGTGAGCTCCGTCTGTCAGCTACAGCTTCTCATGCGGGGACATGAGAGGAGCCTTCCTCAGAATGATAAAACATGCAGGCATTCCCTGGGCAACATCCTTGCAGACAGTCAATTCTCTCACACCAGAAGCTCCTGACACTAAAAAAAAAGTTTGCAACACCAAATGACCACTAGACAACATGAAACACTGACAAAGAAATAGGGTTCAAGGCATGCTTCTCAACTAAGGGAATCTTGTTTATACAGTCATGGCAGCACACATTCTGCTCTGTATAATGCAGGATAAAACTGTGCCAACCTACAGAGAGTCAGAAGAAAGGGAACCTGGACAGTACTGCAACTGAGGCCCCATCTATACTGACCACTGCAGTGGTAAGACAACAAAATAGAGTCAGTGTGGTGCATCAGGGCACTGTGGTTTGTGCAATCGCCCTCCAGGCCTCAAACTGGTTCCAGAATTTCCTACATTATTACCTGCTCAGAGAAATCACTTTCTCCAATACTGGATTGAAACTGCATTTAAATGCCCAGTGCAGATGGAAGCCTGCATAGAAAATTTAAAAAAATCCTTGCGAGGGACTCATAAGGTTCCTGATCTCCTTGAGCGGACTAAAGGGTATGTGTCTGATGTCAATACCAAGTGGCACAAACAACCACTTGGTGTGACATCTTTGACCAAAAAAACCAAAAACAAATAAAAAGGTCAAAGAAAGGCCACCATAACAATGTGTACCTGCAGGACGGCAACCTGGTGTTGTGGTTTGAGCACTGGGACTATGGCCCCATCAACACTGCCATATAACATCCAGATTATCTGATCTGAACTGGATCATATGAGTCTACAGAGCCCCCAGTGGCACAGTGGATTAAACTACTGAGCCGTTGAACTTGCTGACCAAAAGGCTGCTGGTTCAAATCTGGGGAGTGGGGTAAGCTCTCACCGTTAGGGCCAGCTTCTGCCAACCTAGCAGTTTGAAAACATGCAAATGTGAGTAGAGTAATAGGTACCACTCTGGCGGGAAGGTAACGGCACTCCATGCAGTCATAGAATCATAGAGTTGGAAGAGACCTCATGGGCCATCCAGTCCAACCCCCTGCCAAGAAGCAGGAAAATCGCATTCAAAGCAGCCCCGACAGATGGCCATCCAGCCTGTTTAAAAGCCTCCAAAGAAGGAGCCTCCACCACACTTCGGGGCAGAGAGTTCCACTGCTGAACAGCTCTCACAGTCAGGAAGTTCTTCCTAATGTTCAGATGGAATCTCCTCTCTTGTAGTTTGAAGCCATTGTTCCGCATCCTAGTCTCCAGGGCAGCAGAAAACAAGCTTGCTCCCTCCTCCCTATGACTTCCCTTCACATATTTATACATGGCTATGATGTCTCCTGGAGCCCCCAGTGGCGCAGTGGGTTAAACCCTTGTGCCGGCCGACTGACAGGTCGCAGGTTTGAATCCAGGGAGATCACGGATGAGCTCCCTCTATCAGCTCCAGCTCCTCATGCGGGGACATGAACGAAGCCTCCCAAAAGGATGATAAAACATCAAAACATCCGGGCGTCCCAGGGCAACGTTCTTGCAGACAGCCAATTCTCTCACATCAGAAGCGACTTTCAGTTTCTCAAGTCGCTCCTGACACCACAAAAACAAAATTCATGTCTCCTCTCAGCTTTCTCTTCTTCAGGCTAAACATGACTTTGGAGGTGTCTACAGACAACGCCGGCTCTTCAGTTTAAAAATTGAGATGAGCACCACCCCCCAGAGTCGGACACGACTGGACTTAATGTCAGGGGAAACCTTTTATCTTTATATGAGTCTACACCAGGCATGGGCAAACTTCAGCCCGCCAGGTGTTTTGGACTTCAACTCCCACAATTCCTAACAGCCATGCCTGGTCTGCACTGCCATATAATCCAGATAAAAGCAGATAATGTGGATTTTATATGGCCTATGACTCTGAAGGCTTGGGTTTGAAACCCCACTCAGACATTGACAACCCACTGGGTGGCCTTGGGCAAGTCACTCTCTCTCAGCCTCAGAGGAAGGCCAAGGCAAGCCTCTTCTGACCAGTCCCAGCCAAGAAACCCCCCTTTGTAGGGTCACCATAAGTCGGGAAAGACATGAAGGCACACAAAAACAGGCTGCCACACTGATCTCTGAAATAAGGGCACACACTCTTTAACACTCTTCTCTGCTCCAAACCAAGGAAAGGACTCCTGCTTATTGTGGCACAGAAAACAAAACAAATCGGATTATTTTTCGGGGTGGGAAAAACAAACCAACGAAGAGTAGCCGTGTTTACCTTGTTCATCCCATTCCCCATGGCTCTCTGAAACTTTAGCACCAGGGATGCAGCTTAATAGATAGGAAGCTTGCCCAAAAATAATAATAATGAAATGCTGGCGGTGGAAACGGGGCAGTATTTACCCCGATTGAAGAAAAACCCTAAGGACTATTCCAAGCAAAACACCACCCTGAGTGGGGACTTTCCTCCTCCTCCTTTTATGATCAGGAGTTTGTTTTCCGCTTGGCCGCCCAGGACTTCGCTGGAGAAGGAGGAGGAGAGCCAGAAACTACGCCTGCCTCTCTCGATCTCTTCCTCACTGCGATCCGCCCACGTGGGCGCTGCGAAAGCTGGCCCAGATAACGGCGCCGCCAACGCTTCTGGGACATGTAGTCCTCTCGCCCTATTCGCGGCGTAGGCTAAGTGACGCTTGGGAACTACCGCTCCCGTCATGCACCGCGCCCACGCACGGCTGAAGCCCACTTTCATTCCTGGAAGGATGAGTAAGCGGCGGTGGCGGCGCTTCTTTGGCTTTCTCAGCCATGGCAGCCCGAGAAGGCGGCGTATTTCTATTTCTATAGACAGATATCTCTATTTTGGGCTCCTTATGCAAAACAAACAAACAAAGAAACAGCCCAAGCTGCCATGACCGAGCCTTTTTCCAGTAAATGCCTTATCTGAGAAATGATGAGCTTCTACTTCTGCTCCAATTAACTACACTGTGGTTAGGTTGTTGTGAGTTTTCCGGACTGTATGGCCGTGTTCCAGGGCCGGAGGTTTAGCACAGCTGGTAAATCATCAGCCATTATAGATCTATCAACCAAAAGGTTGCAAGTTCGAAGCCCCGGGTTGGCATGAGCTGCTGACTGTCAGCCTAGCTCATTGTTTACCTAAGCAATTCAAAAACAGCTTGAGCTGTGATTAGAGAAATTAGGTACCGCTACAAAGTGGGGGAGTGTTTTATGATGCCATAAAGAAGGAAGATCAGAAAATTCTGGGTGACCAAAAGGAAGGAGGAAGGCCTGACGGCGCTTCATCAATCAGGATAAAGCAATAGCACTCTCTGGACTTGAGCCCAACCTTCCATGGCACCTCCTTCTGTTCTGTCTGTCTGTGTATTGTCTATACAAAGTGCCATTGAATGTTTGCTGTGTATATGTGCTGTGATCCGCCCTGAGTCGCCTTCGGGGTGAGAAGGGCGGAATACAAATAAAGTGTTGTTATTATTATTCTCCCCTACATCTATGGCATCAGAGATTGTGAGGTCTAGTTTCCAACAGTGTGCAGTCTTCGTTCTGCCTTCTCCTCTCCTTTGCTTTAGTTCTCCCTTGTTTATAGGCTTTCCTACAGTTACCTTCTTCTGTATGGTCTTGTAATTCATTTCCCTGCTCAGCCATGGAAAGGATAAACATGACTAAGAATAATAGCATAATAATAACAATGAAGACTCTAGCACAAGCCAGTCAAGGTGGTCCCAGTGGTGTTTAAGTGCAGGCCAAGATCTTGAGGCACTGCACAGTGGGTGCAGTGCCTCAAGATCTTGGCCTGCACTTAAACACAATGTCGTTGACAAAACTACCATCTGTCAGCTCTCGGTGCCCCCGGTGGCGCATGGGTTAGAGGTAACTTCGTTACCTCTAGACTGGATTACTGCAATGCACTCTCCGTGGGGCTACCCTTGAAGACGGCCCGGAAATTACAACTTGTCCAACAGTCGGCAGCCAAAGTAATAATTGGGGCGACTTACAGGGAACGGTCAACCCCCCTGTTTAAGGAGCTCCATTGGCTGCTGTTCACCTTCCGGTCCCAATTCAAGGTACAGGTTCTTACCTATAAAGCCCTAAACGGTTTGAGACCCACCTACCTTCGTGATTGTATTTCCCTCCATGAACCAGCCCGAGCCCTCCGATCTTCGGGGGAGGCCCTCCTTTCACCCTTGCCAGTCTCCCAAGCCCGCCTGGTGGATACAAGGGAGAGAATTCTCCTCTTTGGCCCCCCAACTCTGGAACTCATTGCCTGGAGAGATTAGGAAAGCCCCTACATTAGAAACCTTTAAAAAGAATCTCAAGACCTGGCTCTGCCGTTGCGCTTTTGGAGAGTAGTCACATAATCTTATTCTATTGCTCTCCTCAACGTTTTTGTCCTAGGAGTACACACAGATCCCTGTACGATGGTCTGCCTATTACCCTGTCTTTCCATGTGTTCTCCCTTACAAATAATTCTGCTCCTTTATCTCACCCTGAGTTTTTAAATCATTTTATGTACATGTGACCCGCTCACTATCATTATGTTTGGATTACTACATTTTTCTTTTCCTATGTTTTGTATATATTGTTTATTATGCTTATATGTTTTGTATTTTAATGTGATGTTTATTTTATTGTAATTCATATTTTATTTTATTGTAATTTGTTAATTACTCATGTAAGCCGCCCCAAGTCCCCGTTGGAGGAGATGGTGACGGGGTATAAATAAAGTTTATTATTATTATTATTATTATTATTATTATTATTATTATTGAGCTGGCAGGGCTGAAGACTGACAGGTAGGAGATTCGAACCTGGGGAGAATGTGGATGAGCTCCCTCTGTCATCTCCAGCTCCCCATGGAGGGACATGAGAGAAGCCTCCCATAAGGATGGCAAAACATCAAAACATCCAGGCGTCCCCTGGGCAACGTCTTTGCAGACGGCTAATTCTCTCACACCAGAAGCGACTTGCAGTTTCTCAAGTCGCTCCTGACACACACACACACACACAAAACCTTCCTCTGTATTAGTTTTTGGGTGGAGCATAAAAACACCCTGCAGAGGCCAGTCTCAGTTGATCTATTCCTTTTTCCTGCACAGAACTCTTTGCTGGACTCTTTCTACAGTAAAGCTACAGTATTTTAGAGGCTTGGATATTGTCTGGAATCCTAGGTCTACCAATCCAAAACAGGCAGTCTTAGCACTTTCTGCTACAGTATTCTTAGCAAAAGTCCAAAGGACAGCAGAAGCTTTCGGTCTTCCAAAGCTTCACAGGAGAGAAGCACAAGACAGTTTGTAAGCAACAATTTATAATCCATCGCTTTGCATCAGAGGCAGAAAATCCCAGAAAGATGACTGCAGCCAGCAAAATCTCCTTTTGTAATGTATTGTTTTAAGTTACCCTATAATAGTCCCGGTGGAGTTAACTCTTTATTCATCTTGATTCAGTAAACACATTTGGTTATCTTTTCACCTTGCCTCAAAGTGCCTCTGTCTGCTAAGGGTCTTAATCTTAACAGAAAGTATCAGATAGCCCCCAAGTAAAGCCAGACAATATAAAATACAAAAGCTGAGTGGCACAACCTGGGGAACACAACCAGATACAGTGAAGACATCTGCCCGTGTGCTTTTCTGCTCTGCTGTTGTGTATGCATGCCCAGTGTGAAATACATCTCACCATGTTAAAACAATGGCCGTGGCTCCTAATGAGATGTGTTGCATGATCACAGGATGTCTACGCCCTACACCACTGGAGAAATTATACTGTTTAGCCAGAATTGCACCACCTGACATCCGTTGGGAAGTAACAACCTGTGATGAAAGGACCAAAGCATTCACCTCTGTTCAAATATAAGCTAGCAAGCCAACGTCTTAAATCAAGAAATAGCTTTTTAAGATCTGCAGAGATACTCACAGGAACATCTCAGCAACTGAGAGTCCAAAAATAGCAGGCTAAAATCAGTGGCTGATATTATTATTATTATTATTATTATTATTATTATTAATTATTATTATTATTAGCTGTCCCCTGCTACTCGTTGCTGTGGCCCAGTCTGGTGATCTGGAAAATAAAGTAATGAGAAAGTGTTGGTTTCCAATATACATAATTTCTTTATGCTTGTGGGTAAACAGTATTTTTTCTTGCTTCTTTGTCAGTGTTGATATAGACATTGCCTACTCTGGAACATGCAAAATATAATTGTCCTTCTTTAAGGGTCCCTTTCAAATCTATGATACTATATCTGTCATATACATATATAGGTATGTGTGAATCATATATATCTATATCTATGGCTGGATGGCTCTTTGTCGGGAGGGGTTTGATTAGATTTTCTTGTCCTGGTGAAGGGAGTTGGACTGGGTGGCCTTAATTATTTTCTGTTGGTCATGGGGGTTCTGTGTGGGAGGTTTGCCCCAATTCTGTCATTTGTAGGGTTCAGAATGCTATTTGATTGTAGATTAACTGTAAATCCCAGTAACGACAATTCCCAAATGTCAAGGTCTATTTCCCCCAAACTCCATCTGTGTTCATATTTGGGCATATGTAATATTTGTGCCAAGTTTAGTCCAGATCCATCATTGTTTGAGTCCACAGTGCTCTTTGGATGTCGGTGAACTAAACCTCCCAAACTCAACGTCAATACCCACCAAACCCTTCTAGTGTTTTCTGTTGGTCATGGGAGTCCTGTGTGCCACGTTTGGTTCAATTACATCATTGGTGGAGTTCAGATGCTCTTTGATTGTAGGTGAACTATAAATCCCAGCAACTACAACTCCCAAATGACAAAATCAAATTTTTTGAGTGATGGTCACTCCTTGGGTTAGTAGGTGTCTTGTGGCCAATTTTGGCAGCAATTCATCCAGTGGTTTTTGAGTTATGTTAATCCCACAAATGAACACTACATTTTTATTTATATCGCTTATTATTATTATTATTAAACTTTATTTATACTCCGCCACCGTCTCTCCAAGGGGACTCAGGGCGGCTTACATAAAGCCATGCCCATCAGTACAGTAACACAGTTTTACACAAAAACACAACAAAATTAAAAATACAATAACAAAAAATACAGAACCAATATAATCAACGGTGCAACAATATAAACTCAGAACCACGACATGCAAGTATGGAGAAGAGCAAACCACAAACCATTTACTACAATTCAACCTAAGCCCTGCCACATGCTCAGTGAAGGATCTTCTTACAGCCTCTTCTACACTATTCCAGATTATGTGGCAGTGTAGACTCATATAGTATGTTGGGCAAGTGGCCTTAATAACCAAAGTGTCAAAAATACTAAAAACACACAGACCAATGTTATATCTTCCATTGCTTTTCTTTGTAGTAAAATAATATAGTTGCACTATTTACAACAACAAGGTTTCTACAACAGGAATAAACAAATACATAGTAGCTTTACATGCAGCAGACTTCACACTGGAGCGCCCTCACAAGGCTACTCTTAGGGCCCTTCCACACAGCCCTATATCCCAGAATATCAGGGCAGAAAATCCCACATTATCTGAGTGTGGACCAGACAACGCAGTTCAAAGCAGATATTGTGGGATTTT